TTTGGCTTACAAATAATAAAGTATTTCTCCCATAAACACAAATTACGCCGATTTGAAGCACAGTAGCCTAAGGCTTTGCTCGTTTCAACATAGTTTCTATTTGATTGTATAATCGATGCTTTGGTTTTTCAATTCCCACGCGTATTTGCTTAGTTCGCTAGCGTTCTGTAAGTCCGACATAATGTTTGGGGATGTCTATTTGTAGTTTTGTCCTTAATAGTGACTGCATGGCTTAATATACAACCGATTCAGATACATTTGTTATAGATAGTGGGCACAGTTCTTCGTTGTTTTAGGGCAACTACATATGTTAAGGCTACTGGTCATGCTGGAAATTGTAGACAACGTGGATTTCTCGTATTCTTCGATAGTCTACTTGATGTTTGGCATACAGCTGTAGCTAATCTTGACTGTATTATGGTTGAATATCTTGTGTAGTGGGTGATCTGCGGGGAATTCCTCGTCAATTATTTTCAAGAAGGATTGTCCAACATTAGTCGAAACATTCTTACTATTTTTATGGGCGTACCGGAAGGAAAAAATTAGGGGAACGGAAAGAAATTTGCCCGACTTTTCGGGATTTCTAGTACCTAAAAATTTTTTTCGGAAAAAATTATTTCGGCGACCTCCCCCCCCTCCCCCCCTCAGTGTACGATTTTAGGGGTCAAAAAATTTTCCGGACATACCAAAATTTTTCGGAACATTACACAAATTTTCCAAAAAACACACAATTGACACAGAATTGACTGAATTTTCCACTAAATTGACTGAATTTGTCCCATTTATTTTTATTACAAACCAAAATTGCCCGACTGTTGATCGAATATTGCCCGACTGTCCCCCGCCCGGTACGCCTATGACTATTTTTTTTTGGTAAAATTTCTTAAAATCAATCAATCATATATTTATTTCCCATGTGTACAATAATAAGTAACAAAACTATGTGTAGTTTGAAGGTGTTGGGCTAGAGACCTACTGGAAACCATTACAGGCTTTTTAATGTAGGCCACTAGTTAGGTTTGTAAAAAAATTGCATATATATTTACAGTGAAGAGTAATTATTGAAGTAAGTTTAAAGTATATACTATTTACTTACAAAAGAAGGATATTATATCATAATATACAGTTACAAGATTACACAATTTTCACTATAGAATTAACGGTTGCTGTATATCTGTGGTCATTGGATATAAGTTGAAGATGATCTAGCTTACTATAACATGTTGTTTGATTAATCGTTTGTAGACATTAATTTTAAGAGTTTATTCTTTTGAATTTTGTATCTAATGTATTCCATAGATTAACCCCTTTGTTAGAAAGAGTATGTATGACATAATTCGTTCTTTTACAACACTTGTGTAGTTTTGTTGCATTTCTTGTATTGTAGTTATGAATTTCATTGTTTGTTAGAAAATAATTTTCAAATGCTTCTGGTAAATTTTTAAGATAATAGTATCGATACATAAACAAAGCAGTTAGGTAATAATTTATTTTGAAAATATCTAAAATACGTAATTCTTTGAATATAGGTTCTATATGTTCCGAGTAAGATCTACAAGTTATCAAACGCACAATTTTTTTTTGAATATTCAATATTTTTTGAATTCGGGTTTTGTAGGTATTACCCCAAATCAAGTTGCCATAAATAAGATATCGATACACTAATGTGTAATAAATTAGCTTCAGTGAATTTCTATTTATCAAGTGTCTTATTTTTGCTATTATTCCCGAGGCTCTTGTGATTTTCTTTGATACCTCAGTTATGTGGTTATTCCAAGTCAAATACTCATCGATCAATTGTTATATACTAAGAAAGGTTGTGCATTTAACATGTTCTATGTTTACATTATTTACGCTAACTTTTACATCTTGTTTTAATTTCTTATTTGTAGATCTGAATATAATATATTTAGTTTTTTTAATATTTAAAGATAGTTTATTTGCATTTAACCATTCTGCAACTTTATTCCGACCTCTTCTTGTATGACCTTATTTAGTGATTTAAGACAGCTGTTGCTATAGAAGATATTAGTATCATCTGCAAACAGTATAAACGAAATTCAAAAAATACTAATGAGGACACGACAACAATAGATACTGCCTTATTAGTATTCTTTATATAAAGAATACTAATTAAGAGTGTTTTATCAGGTTTAAAACCACTGCACGTGACATATTATAGTTGACATGATTTGTCAATAAGCTTATGAATTATTAATGAAATAATCCATAAGCTTATTGACAAATCATGTCAACTATAATATGTCACGTGCAGTGGCTTTAAACCTGATAAAACACTCCTAATTAGTATTCTTTATATAAAGAATACTAATAAGGCAGTATCTATTGTTGTCGTGTCCTCATTAGTATTTTTTATATAAAGAATACTAATAAGGCGGTATATCTATTGAATTTGTATAGTCGTGTTTGAAGCCGTTTAATAAACTCGCAGGTCGTGTTTTATTAGGTCTAAAGCCACTCGCGCTGCGCGCTTGTGTCTTTAAACCTAATAAAACACTCCTGCTCGTTTATTAAACAGTACGTAAATTGCTACTATGTTCAATATAATTTATATAAAGTAAACTAATAAAATTGGTCCAAGAATTGAACCCTGTGGGATACCTGTTTTAAATGTCATTTTTTCTGACCTAGTTTGATTGTACTTGACAATTTGTTTTCTGTTTGTTAAATAATTGTCAAACCATAGTTGAGTAACTCCACGTATGCCGTAATGTTCTAATTTTTGAGCCAGAATCCTGTGTTTAATAGTATCAAATGCTTTCGACAAATCGAGGAATATACCTATTGTATATTCTCCTTTATCAATCGCTTTAGTAATTCTATCAGTAAGTTCAATGACTGCAAGCTCAGTATATCTATTTTCTCTGAAACCATATTGGTGCTTGCTTAATATTTTACTTTTTTCTATAAATTTAATTAATTTCCTATACACGACTTTTTCCAATAATTTTGCAAAACAAGTAAGAACAGATATTGGTCTATAATTTTTGAATTCATTTTTTTCATTTGCTTTATAAATTGGAGTAACTAGAGCTATTTTTAATTTATCTGCATGGTTCCGCTTAGAAAGATTAAGTTGAGTATGTGTGAAAGAGGTTCAGAAATTTCGTTAGCAATTTTCTTGATAACTTGTAAGCTTATGCCGTCATATCCTGCATGGACTTTTTTAGCATTTAAGTGGCTGTCTCACTAAGAACCATGCAGAGCGTTTCAAGTTGAAAATTAGATTTCCTTTATATTTTTACCATGAATTACCTTTGTCCTAAAAGGTATTAAACTAAGATTAGAATTTTTAAATTTTTCTTTTTTTTTGAGTTATGACGAATTTTTGTCTAGAAGTCAGCGACTCTGAAATTTGACCCAGAAAACGGCGGTCAATTGTGTGTTAAATTGTGCATCATAACTCGGAAAGTTTCGCGTCAAATTAAAAACTTTTTTCAGCGTATTGAGACATATTCTTCTTCTTTTACAATGCTGAAAGAATTTCAATGTACATCTTATTTTAAGCCTAGTACTCTCCATTCAAGGAAGTCGGTATTTTCGTTCGCCGAACAACTAATGATTAGGTACAAAATTCAAACTAAAAATTCTCAAAAGTGCAACCTACTTGGTGTCTAAAACACTTTTAGGGTTAAAGTAGAATACTTGAAGTTATGTTATTCGCAATAAAACTTGCGAATAATAAAATATGAAGGAGTGCAAGATTCATAAATTATGGCTATAAATAGCTCTATTGTTTACCTTTGTGATAACCGGAAACACGTTCAGTGTTGCTCGCGGAGCTTTTATAACGACTAACATATTGCACAATATCATTGTATTTAACTCAGAAAAGTTTAATTCGATCGATGAAATGCGACGGATCGATCTTTGAGGTCTAAAACGCTTAGAAGAAATAAATTCGTCTAGGACGTTGTAGCCTATCCCTCATGACCGGACAAGTAGAATGTCAATGTCAAAAATGTATCGGTTGCCGTAACGTCGCATCGAATTAATAAATCCATGAACTTGTTATTATGTTCTGTTAAAAGTTTTCCGCATTGCGCATTTGGCAGAATTTTTGTCCCATTATGCAAACCATTCAATTCGTCGTATACTGAGATCTGCCCTTTATCTTCACTTTAATCTATACAGCAATAATATTAATAATAATATTACAGTATTTTGCAGTTAATCCCCATGCATTCTATGAATAACTTAGCGTTAAAGTAAAATACTTGAAGTTCTGTTATTCCCAATAAAACTTGTCGCAAAAGGAATATGAAGGAGTACAAAATTCATAAATTATGGCTATAAATAGCTCTATTGTTTACCTTTGTGACAACCGGAAACACGTTCAGCGTTACTCGTGGAGCTTTTATAAATTTATATTAGCAATTATTATAAATATAAAATAGTGTTTATAAGTTCTTATATTTGAATACAAACACCGCCTTGTAATTTTTTAAGCTTTCGGGAAGCCTTTACAATTGGTCAGTATAATCTGCAGACTGCGGACTGCAGACTGCAGACCGGACTGGGTACAAAATGCAGACTGGGGGTGAATTAGGGATATTTTACAAATTCCCGCCAAGCCATAGTAACGTGATCGTGCAAAATGGACGAAGACAGCGATGTAGAGGTATTGATATTATATGAATATTTATATTGTTCTCATTCAACCGTAAAACTTGATAACTTTAACACATTTCTTTGCTTTTAATATTTGAACGTTTGGTTACGTTGCATTAGATCGGAACAATGAAATCTGGACGTTTTGAGTGTGAAATTTTAATGGTATATATCGTTTCGACTGTCGACAAGCACTCTACTCATATATGTATCAAAACTCGGCAAACGCAAGCTTGCTATTGGTCTATATATGTATATGAACTTGAATTACAGGAGCGATACGCTTGAAAATATGAAAAATTGCTAATACAAAACCATGTGCTTGACAGTCGACACGATATATACCATTACAATTTCACATTCAAAACGTCCAGATTTTATTGTTCCGATCTAATGCAACGTAACCAAACGTTCAAATATTAAACGTAAAGAAATGTGTTAAAGTTATCAAGTTTTACGGTTGAATGAGAATAATATAAATATTCATATAATATCAATACCTCTACATAGCTGTCTTTGTCCATTTCGACTATGGCTTGGTGGGAATTTGTAAAATATCCCTAATTCACCCCCAGTCTGCATTTTATCCTCAGTCTGCATTTTATACCCCCAGTCTGCATTTTGTACCCAGTCCGGTCTGCAGTCTGCAGTCAGTAGTCTGCAGATTATACTGACCGCTTTACAATTGGTCGTTTTAAACTTGATTAAAATCACTAATTTGTTGCACGCCAACATATAAATGTACAATATATTATCGTTGTTTAATATGTCTGATGACTGTGCCATAAATAGAATACACGTTATATTACGAAAGCAACAATTTAACTTTATAGTTAACTTGCTACCTGGATAGTTATTTTTCGCGTGTTAATTCTTCAACAAACAATTTAATCTCGCAAATGTAATCTTTAATCAAACGTTCGGCAGTTGTCGAAAAAATTTCGAGGTAGATTACGTTTGCAGCCAAATTTTAAGTTTCTCTAATTTATAAAATAATAATAAAAAAAGCACAAAGACAAATGCTTGTGGACCACTTGTGGAAAATGTTTGCTGAGATAGACGTATGCCGTCCTATATACCACGACGCGTATGATTTATGTGACATGTACAAACAGAAGAGCCTGCTGAAAGAAATTTGTGCGCATTTTGAACTTCAGGTCAAGTCAAATGATAAAAAAAAACAGATTCTCATAGATAAAATATCATCCATGATTGCACAATGCACGTGTTTCCAAATAAATAACTAAATTGTGCAGGTGCGGACAAATACTCCCAGACTAACTTGGACATGTCGAGAGATGTCATTGTTCTTGGTCCGCGAGTGTGAGGAACCTGGAACAGTATCGTTAACCCAAATCAAGTATCAACAAGAAAATATTTCTTTAAAAAAGAAATAATGTTTCGTTCCAATATAATTATAGAAATACCAGACGTCTGTAATTAGCGGTTGTGACCATAGATCACTTGTATATGTCGAGCAATGAAATTGGTTCATATATTTTGTGAGGCGGGCGGGTTATATAAATTTTTATTACCCGGAAGGGCCGAGCGGTCCAGAAATACAGTTGTAGTATTTAAAATGAAGAAAAACAAAGAAAACTATATAATAAATATATACCGCTGCTGGCGCTTGAATACTTCAAATATAAATCATCGTGCCTGTAGATTTTGACCTAAAGTTCAGGCCCTAAATTTTGATTGGTTGCAAGTTCACATAAACAACAGTTTTAAAAATAGCTCGGTGAAGGGCTCAAGGGGACAATAATAATATAAAGGTCAAATGCACATAACAAATCCATTATCGATTTCTTCGAATTTCTTTTCTTTTATGCTTTATGGCAGAAAATAAATCAAACAAATAGTATTTTGAAGGTCTTTATCAAAATCTTTGACGAATTTTGGACACACGACGCCGAAAGAACAGCCAAACTAGTCATCTATTCGAAAGTTTGTTGTTGACAGCCAAGATGTTCTGCCAACTGGCTTCGCCGGCAAAAGTCTTATTTTTAATATCAGGTCCTACAGGCGTTGTTTTCTCAGCTACATCGCCTTCTTCGTGGTACGATTGAGAATTTTATTGTTGCTGTTGTTAGCCCGTTAAAGTATATCCTTGGTATATATCCGCGTCCAGCAAGTTGAGACCTTGAGAAAGCTTGGCAGTCAAGCTGTACACAGAACTGACTAATTGAATCTTCGTTTGCTGTTCGGTTAAATAGAGAAATTGACTCTTAATTATATAAAAGTACCTTGAATTTTTAAGTTTAATTAAAAAGCAAAATGCACACTCTGCGGACATGTTCATGAGAATATAATTTTTTTGTGTAACGAAATCTATAACACTTGTCAATCATCAACCTCGTTCCCAGGCTCTTTGCTCTTGGGAAACAAAGACCCTGGTCGGGGCTGGTCACGTGACCGATAGAAAATTGATAACCTAAGAGGGGGATGGAAAAGTATCAAATTACATGTTTCCACTTCTGCACCTCACACTTCGATTGCAAGGAGTGACCGTTCTATACAATCATCTTTGAGAGTCATATATACTTCAAAATACTTGCTAAATTGGTTTCTGTTTGCTTTTGAATTATACAAACATGCTAAACTGTAGATTCTTATAGCAACAAACA